GTTGGGAAGAAGGTGCTACCTGCATGTCAGGCTGAGCTCTGAGCTCCTAGAAGGCATCAGCTCACATGGCCCATCCAGGCAGAACATGCAGAGCCAACCAAGTTTGTTTCTCTGCATGGCTTGGCTGTCAGACATGTACCACCTGCTTCCCAATGGACACAGGGACATATGTGTCCAAACATCCTTCTAATGACATAGAACTTCATATTAGAGGAGGTCAGGGAGTTGATTTCATTCTTCTTTAGGAAGAAAAGGTGTCAGAGATTAGGAAGAACTGAGCAGTCAAGAAAACATGGGTATACACCTTCCCATGTCCCCAGTCAACCCAGTGCCATGACCTGCCAGGGAAGTTAAGTCTCACCAAACCCATGGACAAGGAGAGAACAGTACAGGAGGTAATGGCCGTTAGTGGGCTGAAAGGAATCCTGAGGCTGATGGGAATGGGATGATGATCTGTGTCGATGTCTCGGCACTCTGCCCCTGCCCAGGCCTGCACTGGACTCCCCTCGGGCAGGTGGCATCAGGTGCCTTGCGTTCGAAGGGGGTGTGCCAGCACCAGCTGAGGAAACAGAGATGAGTCCTGGCCCTCCGTCTGCAGAGTGGGGATATGGCAATCTACCTCCCGTCAGAACTACAGGCATGCTTACGGAGGTGACACCGGTTAGCATGTGTCAGTTGAGAAATGCCAGCGAGAGCCCGGCTGCCACCCTGCCACCAAGGGGTTCGAGTGAAGGAGGGGGACCAGAGGATTCTGTGCTCATGTCGTCTCATGCTGTGCTCATAATCAGCCACAGAGGACAGAGTTGCCCTTCTTCAAAAGTTGGATAAGTCATACTCGTCATCCAACAAGGAACACATCAGCCACTCTAGAGGTGGGGCAGTCAAAAGTTTGGAGCCCACGGTAGTGTTGTGACCATCAGCTCCCAGTGGTTGCTATGTTCAGCTGGGCCTGAATGGGCTGTGGGCTGTAAGGCTCAATGCCAGACTCCATAGTAAAATGCCCGGGGTTCCTTGGGCAAGGTAGGGGCCTTAGCATCTGGCAAGGAGTCAGTGTCCCTGGAGCAGCCTGACTCTTGGCCATGCCCTGGGCTCGTGTCCTGGCACTCACCCTTCAGGACCTGCCCCCACTACTCAACCAAGTACCACACAGCTCAGAGGAGGGCTGTCGCCAAGCATTTCTGAATATCTAGAAGACAAGCTTGCACTCTGATGCACACAGCTGTACACTGGAGTCAGGAGGACGTTGGTGGAATCCTGGTATTGCCAGCTACCATCTGTATGGCCTAGGATAAACCACCTAACCTTTCTAAGTCTCAGTTTTCAGCGTATTTATTAAATAATTTTATGACTGAGGAATAAATGAAACAGTTTTTACAATGTCCTAGGGCAGCATTGTCATGAAGTGGATGTTCTGAAAATGCTTGTCCTTATTTTGATTGACTCCTGAGAGCCACCTGTCTGTACTCTCAGGAATTCCCCAGAAACTGAGACAAAAGATTTCAGAGAGAACATTAGCTGATGCTGTGGTGGACCATGCTTGGGAAGCAAACACAGATACCAAGAATTGATCTGACACACAGTGGAGTGGACCCCCTGAAATAGTACTGTCCCTGGGAGTTTTAAGTAGATAATGGATGATGTAATTTGAATTTTTGCATTCTTAAAAAGGGTTGGGTTCAAAGACACCCCAACTCTAAGATTCCGTAACTCTGATTGTCAAGAGTTTGCTGTGGTTTCAGCAATTTTTGATAAATTTTCAGAGTCTTGTTATATCAAAAATTTCCTGTGGAGCAAACCATCCCAAACATAGTGACACACAACAGTAAGCATTTATCTCTTGCTCCTGAGTCTGCAGGCCTGCCAATTCTGACTGATCCACCGTGGGCTCGGTAGCATGAGCCCCTGCAGGCTGGAGTCCTCATGCCCCAGCAAGCTTGGGACCTTGTGCCCCTGCGAACTTAGACCTTGCACTCCTGTGGGCCCAGGACCGGGTCCCCCAGACAGATGTCCTTCATCTTCCTCAGAGTGATTCTGAGGTAGATTATTCTCAAGGCAGAAGGCAAGAAGGGTAAGAGAAGACAGAAACCCAGCCACGCAGGGACACTGCAGTCTCTGCTCACAGCATGCCACAGCCTCCCCGCAGCCAGGCAAGTCTTATAGTCAGACCCAAAAGCCAAGGGATAGACTCTGCCCACCCTGAGTCCAGCAAGGATTCAGGTATGTGTTCATCTTGTGGAGGAGTCAGGAGCTGAGGGCCAATGATTCACCTTCCATTCCTGCGGGATTGTAAATGGTTGCTGGATGGAGTCGCCCTCTGGATCCTTTTGATCCATCTGTGACCCCTGATGAGTGACAACCCTGGGTACATGCGGGCCAGTATAAGGACATGGGCCCTCTTCTTTAATGAGCTGGCCTTTTTAAGGTCCAGCATGTGGAGAAGCAGCACACTAGCAGGGGCCTCAGAACCAGTCCTTCAACTCAGCCTGCTAGGCCACAAATCATTGCCATCAACACCCATGTGGTTCCTAACTAGATGGAATTATCAGTTTCTCTCCAATTCCCAGTGATTTTCTGACCATTTTCCTGGAAGTCATTCATGTAACTGATGCTTCCGGTTCCAAAGAACATGCTAGGTCAAAAGCACAGATTGCTGAGAATTTGTGGCTGCTGTCTGGAAATAGCTCTCCCAATTCTCAAGGGGCAATGCTCAGCTACCCAAAGTGACCGGACTGAGCTTAGGAGATAAAGCTGGCAAAGCCTATTACATGGATGTGTTTAAAGACCCTTCTTCTGTCACCACTTAATAGACGCAGGCCTCCAGAAAACGTCCTTTTTCTAGAATAGACTACTCATCTGCTACTGGAGGGACTGGGTCTCACTCGGCATATCCTGGGGACCAGAAACACCCCAGCAGGAATGGTTTTCCTGTGGGCTGGCTTTCTGAGATGCTTTTTTGGGTGGCAGCATGGCTCTGGGGTTGCAAGCCTGAGTTCTGGGGTCTATGTGACCCAGTGAAGGTTTGAAGCTGCTTCACCTCTGTGGTCATTGCTGATGTGACCACAGGTGTTCAGTTCCCCTCTCCTCCTGGCACCAGAAAACTGATCCCCTGCTCCTGTGCAGATGGGTGGAGCCATGTGACTAGTACCAGTCAAGGAATTGTGGCAGATGTGTTATATGTGACTTTGGGCTGTACCCCAGAAGCCATGCTGAGCAGGCATGCTATATGTGACTTCTGGGCTGTGCCCAAGAATGGTCAGCAGGCACATTATATTTGGCTTTGGGACTGTACCCCAGAATGGTGAATAGGCATGTCATATGTGACACTGGGCTATGCCCCAGATGGTGAGTAAGTGTATTATATGTGATTTCTGGGCTGTGCCCTGGAATGATCAGCAGGCGTGTTATATGTGATTTCTTGGCTGTGCCCCAGAATGGTCAGCAGGTGTGTTATATGTGACTTCAGGGTTGTGCCCCAGAGTGGTGAGCAGGCATGTTATATGTGACTTTGAGGCTGTGCCACTTACTACCCAGCGAGAGACTCCAGAATTCTCTCGTCCCCTGGCCCAGTGACCAGCAACATTCCAGATGGCACGGCTGCAATAAGCAGAGCCCCCCATGACCTGTCATAGACATAGACATAACCTGACAAAAAAATTAACTTGACTGTGCTGAGCCCCTGATACTTGGGGGTCATTTGCTACCATAGTCTGACTCTCTGCCCTGGTTGATAGACCCACTACCTCTTAGTTTCTTGATCTGAAAAAATAAGGACAATAATAAAACGTATCTTACGAACTAATTATGAGGATTAAACAGGATAATGTATGTGTAGTACTTAGAACAGTACCTAGCACACAATAATTCTTAGTGTATTTTGGCTATTGGTGATGACGATGATGAAGATGATGATGATGATATGCCTTGTCATAACTTTGCCCCAGCAAGTTATCTATTTCTATCAAGCAAAGTATTACCCTTGTATCTTGAAGATAAATCACTTGACCTCTGACTGCAGTGGTTGCACGAGCGACTAGACAAGTTCCAGCTTGCACTTCTAGCCTTCAGATTCTGTGGTTCTGTTAAGGACTACTCAGAGGATCTATTCAGGTGTTGCAAAGATACTTTCATTGCAGAAGACCATGAAATGTGTGCTCGAACTAATCTTCTCTTGCTCCGTTCTCCAGTTGTTCCTACTCCCCACAAAATAACATGTATCCTTGTTACAGATTTTTCTGCATCCTCTTCTGCATATTTCTGCCCAGGAAATCACAAGTAGCTTATAAATTATTAGCTACAGGTTTTTTCCCAGTCTTGGCACCTGTAGCCTCTTCAGCGCATCCCTGCCCAATAAGGTGTCACCCAGCTCCAGGTCACAGGCCACCGTAGTCTTTCTCCTAATAATGTGGTCTTACTTGGTCCAACAGTGCTGTCCTCGATCACCTGGGTCCCGGCTCATGGTGGCCATGCACTCAGCACCATCAGGACTACTGAGACTCCCAATATCTCCAGATTGGAGCTTTTCAAGTCTTGATATATGTCTCATATTGTCTCATGTGACTCTGCTATGTCCTCCTGTAGTCCCTAAGGCAGACTTGCCTGCACTTGCTAGCAGCAGCATGCTCGTCTGTGTTAATACATGTGGTTGAACCACAAGAACTTGTCATGAGGGTGTTCAACCTATACATAGACCCAATCTGGAAAAGAGGAGGAATTTCATCCCATACATGTTGAACTACATGTTGGATCCCATCAAGAATCTTAGTGTATTTCCTCCCCCTCACCTTGTTGAGCTGGAGCTTTGTTCTTCTAGAACATTCCATACGGTTTATTATATCCTCTTCTGACTTCCCCATACCGAGTACTTGGTCCAGAGGGCACTACTACTATGTGCTGACTGACAAGTTGGGGCTCTTCCCGGTAGCTACTGTTAGCCTCCATGTTCACACATTTTAGCTTTGTGGGAGAAAATAGCACTTGTTTTTTTTAATCTCTTTCAGATTGAAGACATCATTACAAAGATGCAGGACGACAAGACAGGGGGTGTGCCCATCAGAACGGTCAAGAGCTTCCTCTCCAAAATCCCCAGCGTCGTCACAGGTACTGTGCTCCTTACAAGGTGTTGGTGCCAACCAGAACTTCTGGAGAGTTGCAGAGTCTAGATTGTGACTCAAGGACTGTGTAAAAACCTGTGAATAGTAAAAATAGAGTGTTCAGTGTATTTCTTGACTCAGGTCCCATCCTATGGCTTCTCTCTCCGTTATTAAGAATGCCTTGCCATGACCAGCCCAACCAGTGCCTGCGGACTGAGACCCCTGGGAATAAACAAGCCCATTGATAAACTGACCCATCAGCCACTTGGCCTGTGGGGTATACATAAGCTCAGAAATATTAAAGAAATTAAGTTTAAACAGATTTTTAAGAAAGTTTTATGAAAGTGTTAAGATCAAATTCTACAAAATGCTTTTACTTTTAAAACTCACTGTAGTTGAATTCTTGAGAGATTTAAAAACACTTTTCTGTTTGTCTTTTTTTCTGCATTTTTGTGCATGAGCATTTTTCTTTTAAAAATTTTTATTGTGACACATATTAAACACATGGGTATAGAACAATAAAACAAGAACAATAAAACATGGTCGGGCGCAGTGCCTCGTGCCTTTAATCCCATAACCTTGGAAGGCCGAGGCAGGAGGATCACTTGAGTCCAGGAGTTCAAGACCAGCCTAGGCAAAATAGTGAGACATTGTTGCTACAGAAATTTAAAAATTAGCTGGGCATGGTGGTTCATACCTATAGTCCCAGCTACTTGGAGGGCTAAGGCAGGAGGATTGCCTGAGCCTAGGAGGTTGAAGCTGTGGCGAGCTGTGATCATGCCACTGTACTCTAGCTGGATGATAGAGTGAGGTATAATAATCATCATCATCATCATCATCATCATCATCACATCACATGTGCCTATCCACCTGCCTTATAAATGACATACTATCAATATCTTAGCATCCCCTTGGGTACCTACCAGACTACACTCCCCTCCTTAACCACTATCTACTTTTGTGCTAATTAATTCGTTGTTTTTCTTCATGTTTTTACTACATGGACATATGTCCCTTGCTATTACAAACAGATAACCAAATGAATTAAGACTTGACTCATTTTCAGTTTCCACTATACAACTATTAGACAGTTGAAATAAAAAATACTGACAGTGTCAAGTGTGGTGAGGATGGGAGGCGACTGGAACTCTTGTGTTTGCTGGGGGGAATGCAAAATAGTGCAACCACTCTGGGAAGCAGCTGGACAATGTGTTGTCAAGTTAAACATGTGCCTGCCATATGAGCCTGCAATCCCACTTATAGATATTTACCCAAAAGAAATGAAAAGTAAAACTTGTACATAAGTGTTTCTAGCAACATTGTTCATGATCTCCAAAGACTGGAGCCGACCCAAACACCCGTGAGTGAGTGGGTAAACAAGCCGTGGTCTGTCAGTACCGAGCAAGGAAAGATGTAAACTGTGAGTACGTGCAGCAACTTGGGGAATTTCAAGGTCGTCTTCCTGAGTGAAGGAAGCCCATCTTGAAAGAGTGCTCGCTGCATGGCTTCCTGTGTACAACACTGAATGACACAGAGCTGAGGGCTGGGGAGCAGGTCCATGACCTCAGCAGTGGGGGAGAGCATGGCTGCAAGGATGGCATGAGGATGTTATGAGAAGGTGGAACTGTCATGTCCACTGACTGTGGTGGTGGTGATGTGAATCTGTGTATGGGTCACAGTTCACAGAACAGTACATACATGCACATACACATACACCCAGACTCACTGCTACTATATATTAACATACAAGATAAATCCATCTTGCCACTGTGGACTTGGACTCTGTGTCAGTCACCTGAGCTACTGTGACAGGCACCGCACACTGGGTGGCTTATTTTTCAGAATTCTGGAGGCCGAAGTCTGAGGTCAGGATGCCACCATGGGATCTGGTGAGGGCCCATACCAGGTTCTAGTCTGCTCACTTCTTGTTGTATCCTCACCCGGTGGAAAGAAAGCCAGAGAGCTCTCTGACCTCTTGGCACAGGGGTCCTCCTTCATAAATCACCTCCCAAAGGCCCCACCTCCTAATGCCATCACACTGGGGATGACATTTCCACATATGAATTCTGGGAGACACAGATATCCAGTTCATAAGAGGTCCCAAGTAGATTTGGATAATGAAGGATACTTGCATTGTTAGTGTTTTCTAATTTTGAAATGTATGTAAATGGAATTTTACTATATATGTTGCATATATTATACAATATATGTTTTATTATATATACACTTTTATTAAAGTATATTATATTTCATACAGTGGTAGATTTTGATACTGTTGCTTAGAATTGTGGTGTCTGTTTTCACGGGCAAGGTTGTCATTTTTCTCACCATCGTTGCTGGTTTGGGTATGGAATTTATGGTGGCTTCATAAAATGAGCCATGGAGTATGTCTGTTTTTTTGACATCATGTTGTTCTTTGAAAAATAATTGTCCCTTTAATCCAGTTTTGTGTAATTTAAGTTATTTATCTTTTATTTCTAAAATTTTCTCTGGTTCTTTTCCCAATATGTTTGGCCATTCATTTATATGTTATTTATTCATTTAGTTATTTATTGAGCATTCACTCTTTTCTAAGTGTGGTTAAACACTTATGATTCAGAAGTCAATGAACTAGATTAACATTTCTGCCCTTATAGAATTTGTATTTGCATGAAGGAGACAATAAACAAGATAAATAAAGATAATTTGCATTTAGGTTTAAATTGTAGGTAGTGATAAAGGCCAAGGAGAAAAATAAAATATGAAAAGGGATAACTGACATGCTGTAATTTGGGAACATATGGTCAAGGAAGAACTCCTGGAGAAGGTGATATTCAAGTAAAGGTGAAAAGGAGACGAGGGACTGAGCTATGTGGATTTGAGGGGAAGAATATTCTAGACAGCAGGGCTTGGTGCCCAAGACAGGAGCCTTCCTGGAGTACTGAGGGTCTGTGAGGACAGAGTCAAAGGTACAGAAGACAGTGGAGAAGAGACAGATAGTGGGGACAGAATCACATGGAACAGGAGTGAGAGCACATGGGCTCTTGAGGTTATTAGGTCCCTGGAGTACTCTTGTGCTGACTCATCTTGCCATGGGGTCATCTGTCACTGCCTGGCTGGGTTCTTATGCCTGCTGCACAAAAGAGCCGACACACTCATAGCAGTCACTGCCAACTGAGAAAGAGTTTTCATAAGTGCAGGGCCACAGAGCAGGAGGAGAGGAGAGACTTCTCAGATTCACCTCCTGAGAACTTCAGGGTAGGATTTTTTAAGGAATAATTTGGTGGGCATCAACCTCATGGGCAGCTTCTCCTCGCCAGGGGTCGGGACGTGAAGATCATCAACTGCTCCCTACTGAAGTGACTAAAGCAAGCTTCAAAACAAGCTTGTTAGTTTCTAACCATAGTTGCAGCTTTGCAGGGCTTGGATCTCTTCCACAGCTTGTACCCCGGGGCCCCATATTAATTTTATACAGGTGGCTTCAACTCTACTGTGTTCAGAATACCATGGGGGCTAGAGCTGAAGTGCCAGATGGCAGGTTTGTTGTAAAAACAAAGCACTGGAGATGTATAAAGTAGACAGCTTCTGGTTCAAGTTTGACAGTAGAACAGACAGTATTTGGGGATAGAGCAGAGGTAGAATGTGAGAGAAAAAAGGAATTAGCCATGACTCTACACTCTTTGGCTTGAGCAACTAGAAAAATGAAGCTGCTCTTAATGTCAAATGGAGTCTATGAGAGGTTTGTTTGTTTAGCTGAAGGGTAAGACGTTGAAAGATATATTTTAGGCACATTACATTTTAGGAACCTAGTAGACATTTCAGCTGGAGGTGACAAACAGGAGTTTGGCTATGTGGATCTAGATTTTAAGGGAGTGTCTAAGTGTACATAAGTCATCAGTATGTATATGGTATTTAGAGTCATGGGATTAATGAAATCACCAAGGGAGTGAGTACAGATAGAACAAATGGTCCAAGTCCTAAAACCTGGGATCCCCCAAGCTATAGAGATCAGGAACAGAAAGAGAAAACAGCAAAAGAGGTTGAGGAGTAGCTGGAGACAAGTAGGGAAATCAGGAGAATTTGGCTTGTTGGAAGTCAAATTTTTTAGAAAGCATTTCAACATTGAGTGGTGTGACCTGCTATGTCAAATGCTGCTGATAATCAGGTAAGCTAGGGGCTTAGAGCTGACTGTTGACTCTTCCAACACTGAATCTGTTACTGACCTTTATAAGTGCACATTCCCAGAAATCCTGGAGCAAAATCTTTATTGGAGAGTGTTCAAGTCTGATGGGAGGAGAGCAGTTTGAGGCGGTAAGTATAGTTCATTGTGGAAGGAGTTTTCCTGCAAAAAAAAGTAATGCCATCATAACAGGAAGGTACATTAGGTCAAGACAGGTGGGTTTTAAATTGGTATGAAAATGACAGGAATGGCTCAATAGAAAGGGCAAAAAGACTTATCAGAGTGGGACAATTCAAAAAGTGGCATCAATGAAGGTAAGGAGAGCGTGAATCTATTGTGCAGGCACGAGAGTAGCTCCAGCTAGAAGCACTTACAGTGTATTCACAGGAGGAAGAAGGGGCCACAGCAGATGCATAGAAGTGCAGGTAAGAGGGATTGGTGGGCGGGAGCAGAGCTCATAGATGTTCTCTTTTCATGGTCTCTATTTTCTTAGGAGTATAGGAGAAAAAGGTGGAGGAGATGTTGAAAGATGGAGGATTAATTAGAAGTTATGAAATAATCGACAAGGAAAGTAGAGAGATTGACTGGACTAGGGAAATAGAATTTTTATTGTGATCCTTTTAGAATACTTACTATTTATGTATGTAAAGAGAGACAATTCTTTCTCCAGCCACATTTTGTTCTGTGGATGTGTGTAGGTGTCAGGTGGCAAGCTGGACATAATTGATGCTCTAGCAAGGCTGAGGGTGTACGAAGTCGAGAGGAAGGCAAGAAAGCAGCAAAAGTGATCAGTCAGTAAGGGGGATGAGAACATGAGGTAGGGGAGAAACAGTAGGGAGTTGCAATCA